CCTTACCTCACCCATTGCACCCTCTCGAGCGCTCTTCCTCCGCCTGCCTGCCCCCAAGCGAGCATTCTCCGCCATGCTATCCGGATAACCTGCCTCGGCATGCCCGCTGCCAGATGCATTGCCAGATGCGCTGCCAGCCGATTGTGCGCCCACCGGCACACCATTGTCCAACAAGTTCTTGGGATTGGCCGACGGGTCATCATGGTAGTAGCTGTCCATGGCCTTGAAGACGGACTCCCTCAAGGCGATCCCAATCTTATTCTCTTCTCGTTCGGCGCAGGTCATATCGAAGAAGTTTTTCGAACCGGACACGTGGCGGTTGTGGAAAACAACGCGATTATAGCGTGACTTTATTTGTTCCCACTTCCGCTTCGCTTCCGCCCCGCTCTTGTGAACACCCCTATCACCCAGCCGCTTTGAAACGACCTCCCACTTCTCTTTCTCGGGCTTGGATTTCTGAGCGATGCCCACAGAGTTCCGCACCATCTCCATATCAAACTCCGACTTCACATGCACGAGTGTGACACTCTCCTCCTCCGTCCACTTACCCCCGACCTTCACTCCCTTGTCGCCCCCACCCTTTGCTGCCGTGTCACCGTCACCCTTCGCTGCCTCGTTGCCCCCACCCTTCACTGCCGTGTCACCTCTTTCAGAGTTTGCTGCAGCTCCCGGCGCAGGGACTTCATCCCCCGGCATGTTTGCTGCAGCCCTCGGTGCAGTCGCTTCCACTGCTTCATTGTCGGCGCTGGCCATCAGCATTGACAAGGTGTCCGCTGCCTTGGATGCAGCTGCTCGCTTTACACGCCCGCATCCTCCAACACCTTCCCTTTTCCCCCCTACCACTGCAGCTGGTTCGCTGTCAGGCACGGGGGCACTCCCTGCTGCGTCTGCAGTAGAATGGTCCACCATCAGCTGTTGTGTACAGCTCGCTTGTCCGCAAGACGGCATGCACACTGCAGGCGACGAGTTCGTGAAGGCAGTCACTGTTGACGATCCTCGTGATTGCTGGTTCGGTGAGCCGTTCAGTGGCGAGTTACCACACGCCGCAGGAGAAGTGTGATGAGCTGGTCCAACAGTTGGCATACCCCCGCAAGCTCTATGTGCGAAGCCGTGTGTTCCACCGACCAAACCTGCTATCACCTGGCGACGAATCATAATCGACATCATGCACCACATCGACATCATGCATAGTCCCATTCCCCGTAGAGACAGTGCTGAAATCGCTAAATCCCGCATGAGGATGGACAAGAGTCTGAAACCAGTCGCTGCTGCCGCCATGTACGGCATGAACATTGCTATCATGCAAGTTCACGGGAGTGTTCCAGTTCATGGGAGCCTGCAAGTTCATGGGAGCGCATGCTACCTCCACGTGATGCGCAGGCTCCATGTGACGTGGTGGCTGGACGCCGTGTGCTGCCTCCATGTGATGACAAGGCTCCATGTGACGTGGTGGTTGGACGCCGTGTGCTGCCTCCATGTGATGCAAAGGCTCCATGTGACGAGGTGGCTGGACGCCGTGTGCTGCATCCATGTGATGTGAAGGCTCCATGTGACGTGGTGGCTGGACGCCGTGTGCTGCCTCCATGTGATGCGAAGGATCCATGTGGCGTGGTGGCTGGACGGCCTGGTGAATGCGCGGCATTCCATACTCCTGTGCCTCATCCAACACCGTCTCCAACCATTGATTACCCCACGCGTGGTGTCCTTGGGTTGCGCCATGCCCCCCTCCATAGAAGTGCCGACCTTCGTCGATCAGATAGTCCCTGGCATACACACCCGCCCCCTCGATCAGATAGTCCCCGGCATACACACCCGCCCCCTCGTCCCGCACTGGGTGAAGGTGTGGTGGCAGAAGCTGCACCGTGCCTCGAGGCACAGGCGATTCGCAGTTCACCTCTCCCCTCGTCCGTGCTGTCCCAAGCCCTAGCACCAACGACCGATCTGGAACATGACTGTTCCGAGCATCTTCGCAGCCTTCAACTTCGACGTCTTCGCAGCGCTGAACTCCCGTGCCGGACTCAGCAGCATTCCTCCAGAAAGCCATCTATCTCTTTTTGATCCTAGCCCCTATCACCAATGGTTGGACGAAGCGAGCGAAGAGCCAGCAAGCTGCAACTCAAAGCACAACTAACGAAACCAAGTGTAAGGCTGTCGCAGCATAAACGAAGAGGAGGACCTCCGGATGAAAGCAGCATGCGTGGCATTAAAGGGTCAAAAGGCCGAAGATCACGGCTTGCAGCGGAGATGCGTGTTTGTGGGAGTGCTACAGTGTGTGCATATATGCATCCACCCTCGGATGGTAAAGTCGCGAGAAACGTGCAGTTTGCGACGGCCGAAATTCCCATTGGCGGGATATCGATCTCCAAAAAAAAAAAAAAAAAAAAAAAAA